TGAAGGGAACACAAAGTTTCTTTTCAGTTGCAAACTCCACTCCATACATATATATGGGGAGGTACAAACTCCAACTCGGTTTTACAGTGAAAACCGCAGGAACCTCAAACCGGCACTAGGAAACAGACTGAGAAACCAGAGTAAGTGTTTCTCCTGCAACTGGTTCCCTTGTGTAGATGAATGAACGTCTATTCACATGCTCAGTTCTGAGAGATAAGTGTGTGTGAAGCCGTCTTTAACATGGCTTTTTGTGAACACAAAGTATCTTTTCTTTTGGAAGTTACACTACATAAATATATAATGAGAGACAGTAGCTCCAGGTCGGTTTTACAGTGAAATCTGCATGAACATTAAACGGCACTAGGAAACAGACTGAGAAACCAGAGTAAGTGATTCTCCTGCAACCGGTTCCCTTGTGTAGATGAATGAACGTCTATACACATGCTCAGTTCTGAGAGATAAGTGTGTGTGAAAGCCTTCCTTCACCTAGCTTGTTGGAAACACAAAGTTTCTTTTCAAGTGGGAACTGCACTACATGAAGATATATGGATTGGTAGTAGCTCCATTTCGGTGTTACATTGAAATTGGCATGAAATTCATACTGGCATTAGGAAACACTGAGAAACTAAAGAAATTATTTCCCCTGAAAACTGTTCCCCTTGCGCTAGATCAACGAACGTCTCTCCACATGATGAGTTCTGAGATATAATTGTGTGTGAAAGACGTCCTTCAACTAACTTGCTGAGGACACAAAGTTTCTTTTCATTTGGTAACTACACTACATAAATAAATAGGAGAGGTACAAGCTCCAGCTCGGTTTTCCAGTGAGAACTGCATGAACTTCAAACGGGTACAAGAAAACAGACTTAGAAAGCAGAGTAAGTGTTTATCCTGCAATCCGTTCCCTTTCTGCAAGATGAACGAACGACTCTCCACATGCCCAGTTCTGAGAGTTTAGTGTGTGTGAAAGACGTCCTTCACCTAGCTTGTTGGGAAAACAAAGTTTGTTTTCAGTAGTAAACTACACTACATACATTTGTATGGAGAGGTAGTATTTCCAGCTCTGTTTTACAGTGAAAACTGCATGAACTTCAAGCGGCACTAGGGTACAGTCTGAATAACCAGAGTAAGTGTTTCTCCTGTAACCCGTTCCCATTGTGCTAGATTAATGAAGTCTCTCCACATACTCAGTTCTGTGAGATAAGTGTGTCTGAAAGCCGTCCGTCAAGTAGCTAGTTGGGAACACAAAGATTCATTTTAGTTGGAAACTACAATACCTACATATATATAGGGAATTACTCGCTCCTGCTAAGTTTTACAGTGAAATCTACACGAACTTCAAAGCTGCACTAGGAAACACACTGAGAAACTGGAGTAAGTGTTTCACCTGCAACCCGTTGCCTTTCTGCGAGATGAACAACAGTCTCTCCACATGCTCCATTTTGAGAGATAATTGCATGTGAAAGCTGTCTTTCATTTCTCTTATTGGGAACACAAAGGTCCTTTTCATTTGGAAACTACTCTACATATATATATATATGGGGAGGTACTAGCTCCAGCTCAGTTATACAGTGAAAACTGGATGAACATAAAACCGGCACTAGCAAACAGTCTGAGAATCCAGACTAAGTGTATTTCCTGCAAACCTTTCCCTTTGTGCTAGAAGAATGAACGTCTCTCCACATGCTCAGTTCTAAGGGATAATTGTGTGTTAAGGCCGACCTTCACCTAACTTGTTGGGAACACAAAATTTCTTTTCAGTTGGGCACTACACTACATACATATATATGGGGAAGACGTAACTACAGCTCAGTTTTTCAGTGAAAACTGCATGAACTTCAAACGGGAACTAGGAAACAGATGGCAAAACCAGTGTATGTGTTTCTCCTTAAAACCGATCCCTTTGTGCTACATGAAAGAACACCTCTCCACATGTTCAGTTCTGAGAGATAAGTGTGTGTGAAAGCCATCCTTCACCTAGCTTGTTGGGAACACGAAGTTTCTTTTCACTTGGAATGTACACTACATACATACATATGGGGAAGTACTTGCTTCAGGTCTGTTTTACAGTGAAAACTGCAAGAACTTCAAAGCGGCACTAGGAAACAGACAGAGAATCCAGAGAATTTTTTCTCCTGCAACCCATTCCGTTTATGATTGAAGAATGAACGTCTCTCCACATGCTCAGTTCTCAGAGGTAAGTGTGTTTGAAAGCCGTCCTTCACCAAGCTAGTTTTGAACACAAATTATCTTTTTAGTGGAAAACTACACTACATATATCTATATGGGGAGGTACTAGCTCCAGCTCGGATTTACAGCAAAATGACATGAACTTCAAAGCGGCACTTGGAAACAGACTGAGAAACCAGAAAAAGTGTTTCTCCTGCAACCTGTCCACATTGTGCTAGAAGAACTAACGTGTCATCACATGCTCAGTTCTAAGAGATAATTGTGTGTGAAAGCCGTCTTACACCTAGCTTCTTGGGAACACAAAGTTTCTTTTCAGTTGGAAACTACACTACATACATATATATAGGGAGGTAATAGCTGTAGCTCAGTTTCACAGTGAAACTGCATGAACTTCAGATCGGCACTCTGAAACATACTGAGAAACAAGAATAAGTGATTCTCCTGCACAGCTTTCCTTTGTGCGAGATAAAACAACATCACTAACATGATCCATTTTGAGAAATATGTGTGTTTGAAAGCCGTCCTTGACATAATTTCTTGGGAACACATAGTTTCTTTTCAGTTGGAAAATACACTACATACATATATATCAGGATAAAATAGCTGCAGCTCGATTTTATAGTGAAAACTGCATAAACTTGAAAGCGGCACTAGGATACAGCCTGAAAGACCAGAGTGATTGTTTTTCCTGCAAACCGTTCCCATTGTGCTAGATGAACGAAAGTCTCTCCATAAACTCAGTTCTGTGAGATAAGTGTGTCTGAATGTCGCCCTTAAACCTACTCGTTGGGAACACAAAGATTCTTTTTAGTTGGAAACTATAATACCTACATATATATGGAGATGTCCTAGCTCCAGCTAACTTTTACAGTGAAATCTGCACGACCTTCAAAGCTGCACTAGGAAACACACTGAGTAACCAGAGCAAGTGTATCTCCTGCAAACTGTTGCCTTTTTGCTAGATGAACGAAAGTCTCTCCAAGTGCTTAATTCTGAGAAATAAGTGTGTGAGAAATCCGCCCTTCACCTATCTTGTTGGGAACACAAAGATCCTTTTAATTTGGACACTACTCTACTTACATATATATGGTGAAGTAGTAGCTCCAGCTTGGTTTTACAGTGAAAACTGCATGAACTTCACACCAGCACAAGGAAATAGATTGAGAAACCAGAATAAGTGTTTCACCTGCAAACCATTCACTTTGTGCTGGATTAACGAACATCTCTCCACATTCTCAGTTGTGAGAGATAAGTGTATCTGAAATCCGTTTTTCACCTAGCTAGTTTCAAACACTAATATTCTTTTTATATGGATACTACAATACATTCATTTATATGGGGAGGTACTAGCTCATGTATGGTTTTTCAGTGAAAAATTCATGAACTTCAAAGCGGCACTTGGAAACATTTTTAGGAAGCAGAGTAAGTGTTTATCCTGCCACCCATTCCTTTGTGCTTGATGAACGAACGTCTTTCCACATGCTCAGTTCTGAGAGATAAGTGTAAGTGAAAGCCATCCTTCACTTAGATTATTGGGAACACAAAGTTTCTTTTTTGTTGAAAATTACACTACATACATATATACGGGTAGGTAGTAGCTCCAGCTCATTTTTACAGTGAAAAGTGCATGAACTTCAACCTGGAACTAGGAAACAGACTGAGAAATCAGAATAAGTGTTTCTCATTCAATCCGTTCAATTGTGCTAGATGAACGAACGTCCCTCTACATGCGTAATTCTGAGACATAATTGTGTCTGAGGGCCGTCTTTCTCCTAGCTAGTTGGGAACTCAAAGATTCTCTTCAGATGGAAACAGCAATACATAAATATATACGGGTAGGTAGTAGCTCCAGCTCGGTTTTACAGTGAAAACTTTGTGAACTTCAAATCGGCACTAGGAAACAGAGAAACCAGAGTAAATGTTTCTCCTGCAGACCATTCCCTTTGTGCTAGATGAACGAATGTGTCTGTACATGCTCTGTTCTCAGTGATAAAAGTGTTAGGTAGCCGTCATTATATAGCTTGTTGGGAACACAAAGTTTCTTTTCAATTGGAAACTACACTACATACATTTATATGGGGAGGTTTTAGCTCCTGCTCAGTTTTACTGTGATAACTGCATGAACATCAAACCAGCACTAGGAAACAGACTGAGAATCAAGAGAAATTTTTTCTCCGGCAATGTACCGTTTTTCCTGGATGAATGAACGTCTATCCACAAGCTAAGTTCTGAGAGATAATTGTGTGTGAAAGCCATAATTCACGTAGCTTTTTGGGAACACAAACTTTCTTTTCAGTTGGTATCTACAGTACATTCATATAAATGGGTTGCTACTAGCTCCAGCTCAAGTTTACAGTGAAAACTGCATGGACTTCAAATCGGCAATAGGGAACAGACAGATAAACCAGTGTAATTGTTTCACTTGCAACCCAACCATTTGTGCTGGATGAACGATCGTCTCTCCACATGCTAACTTCTGTGAGGTAAGTGTGTGTGAAAGCTGTACTTCACCTAGCTTGTTGGGAAAACAAATTTTCTTTTCAGTTCAAAAAACACAACATACATATATATGGGGTAGTACTAGCTCCAGCTAGAATTTACAGTGAAATCTGCATGAATTCAAAGCTGCACTAAGAAGCAGACTGAGAAACCAGAAAAACTGTTTCCCCTGCAACCCATTCCCTTTGTACTAGATGAACGAACGTCTGTCCACATGCTCAGTTCTGAGAGATAAGTGTGTGTGAAAGGCGCCCTTCACTTAGCTTATTAGGAACATAAAGATTCTTTTTAGTTGGAAACTACACTACATACATATATACGTGTAGGTAGTAGCTCCAGCTCGTTATTACAGTGAAAAGTACATGAACTTCAAAACGGAACTAGGAAACAGACTATGAATCCAGAATAAGTATTTCTCCTTCAAATTGATCCATTGTGCTAGATGAGTGAACGTCTCTCTACATGAGGAATTCTGAGAGACAATTGTGTCTGAGGGCCGTCCTTCTCCTAGCTAGTTGGAAACAGAAAGATTCTTTGTGGATGGAAACTTCAATACATAAATGTATATGGGTAGGTACAAGCTCCAGTTTGGTTTTTCAGTGAAAACTGCATGAACTTAAAAGCTGGACTAGGATACATACTGAGAAAGCAGTGTATGTATTTCTCCTGCAACCCATTCTTTTTGTGCTAGATGAATGAACGTTTCTCCACATGCTCAGTTCTGAGACATAAGTATGTGTGAAAACCGTCCTTCCTCTAGCTTGCTGGGAACAGAAAGTTTCTTTTAAGTAGGAAATTGCACTACATACATATATATGGGGAGGTAGTAGCTCCCACTCGGTTTAACTCTGAATACTGCAAGAACATGCATCTGGCACAAAGAAACAGACTGAGAAACCAGAATAAGTGTTTCACCTGCAACCCGTTCCCTTTGTGCTAGATGAGTGAATGTCTCTCTACATGCTCAGTACTTAGTCATATGTGTGTGTGAAAGCCGTCGTTCACATATTTTGTTGGGAACACGAAGTTTATTTTGAATAGGAACTACTCTACATACATATATATGGGGAGGTAGTAGGTCCAGCTCGGTTTAACTGTGAAAACTGCATGAACTTCAAACCGGCACCAGGAAACAGACTGGGAATCCATAGTAAGTGTTTCTCCTGAAAGTAGTTCCTTTTTTGCTAGGTGAACAAACTTCTCTCCACATGATCAGTTCTGAGAGATAAGTGTGTGTGAAAGCTGCCCTTCACCTTACTTTTTGGGAACACATTGTTTCTTTCCAGTTTGAAACTACACTACATACATACATAAGGTGACATACCTGCTCCAACACGGTTTTACTGTGAAAACGGCCTGAACTTCAAACCAGCACTAGGAAACAGCCTGAGAAACCAGACTGTTTCATGAGCAACCCGTTCCTTGTAATAGAAGAACGAACGTGTCTCCACATGCTCAGTCCTGAGATATGTATGTGTGATTGCCGTCCTTAATCTAGCATGTTGGGAACACAAAATTTCTTTTCTCTTGTGATCTAGACTAGATACATATATATGGGGAAGTACTAGCTCCAGTTCGGTTTTATATTGAAAATTTTATGATATTCAAATCGGCACTAGGAAACAGACTGAGAAACCAGAATAAGTGTTTCTCCCGCTATCCTTTCCCTTTGTATAAGATGAACGAACTTCTCTCCACATGCTCAGTTCTGAGAGATAAGTGTGTGTGAAAGCCGTCCTTCACCTAGCTTGAAGGGAACACAAAGTTTCTTTTCAGTTGCAAGCTCCACTCCATACATATATATGGATAGGTACAAGCTCCAACTCGGTTTTACAGTGAAAACCGCAGGAACTTCAAACCGGCACTAGGAAACACACTGAGAAACCAGAGTAGGTGTTTCTCCTGCAACCTGTTCCCTTTGTGCTGGATG